TCCAGTCTTCAACTGTCCAATTTTAGTGAGCTCTTGCAAATTGTAGCCTCTTTTTCCTATTTGTAGTGGAGATGAGTGGCACCCGGTGGGGTCTTCTGCTGTTGTAGCCCATCCGCCTCAAGGTTGTGCATGTTGTGGCTTCACACATGCTTTGCTGCATACCTCAGTTGTAACGAGTGGTTATTTCAGTCAAAGTTGCTCTTCTATCAGCTTGAATCGGTCGGCCCATTCTCCTCTGACCTCTAGCATCAACAAGGCATTTTCGCCCACAGGACTGCCGCATACTGGATGTTTTTCCCTTTTCACACCATTCTTTGTAAACCCTAGAAATGGTTGTGCGTGAAAATCCCAGTAACTGAGCAGATTGTGAAATACTCAGACCGGCCCGTCTGGCACCAACACCACGCCACGCTCAAAATTGCTTAAATCACCTTTCTTTCCCATTCTGACATTCAGTTTGGAGTTCAGGAGATTGTCTTGACCAGGACCACACCCCTAAATGCATTGAACCAACTGCCATGTGATTGGTTGATTAGATAATTGCACTAATGAGAAACTGAACAGGTGTTCCTAATAATCCTTTAGGTGAGTGTATTTTGTTTTGTTTCAAACAACTATGGGAAATGGTATCTGATGGCTCCTCATCCTAATTAGGTCATCCTCCCGAGTAGTAGCCTATTATATTGAGAAAGAATAGGCTACAGCTTGTTTTTTTTGGGGGGGGGTTGAATGAGAAAAGTAAAATAATTTAGTGACCAAATAAGTGGTAGGAAATAATTTAAGTTTTTTTTGTTTTGTTTTTTTATCTATCAGTGTTGAAAGTAAACAACGGAAATTATTTTAACTCTCGATCAATAAACTGAATTGAAAGATCTCCGCGAGTGCGGTTTCCTTTAGTGGTGAGTCGCAAACCTCCTCCAAAACGACAGTCACAAGTATAAAACGAGTCAGGAGTTTAAACAAGTAATTTATCTACACTAAAGACTCGCAGAGGAAAACAGGCTGCACGTCCAGCCGATCAAACCACACCTGAAGCAGCTGCAGCCAGAGGCTCAGTGAGTAAAATCAGCTGATCGTGATGAACCATAAACTGTGTATATAAAGGCTGGAACGCCGCGATCGATCAGTGACAAGCGATGTGAATAGCAAATAAAAATGTCCAGAGAAGTGATGGTGGTGATAAACTTGCAACAGTGACGAACATGGCTGAGACTGCAGCCGAAGGTGAACGTCTGTTAAAATCACGCGTGGACTCGGCGCATGCAGGCCTTTTTTTTATAGCTGAGCACCAGTTTATGGTGCAGGCACACTAGGCCAAAAAGGCGTGCTCTTCTTTCTTTCGGTGCGTTGCTGGCGTGCTGGGCTGCAAGAAAAAAACATGCATAGCAGGCCTACTGGTTTGACTGGAGACGTCTCGATTCTACTCGATACTGGGCTGTTTCTGTCGATAGGCTACCATAAAGGCATTGAGTAGCAATAGCCATCCCTACTGCCACGTCACCCTGTCTTAATCAATAAACTATTTACACTGCTGCATTGTCTCCTAGCCTGCATCTGGGTTCTGCCCTAATTTCTGACCGTAACTAGGGGCATGATGTAGGGCTTTCTATATCCTCTACCAGTGTTGATATGAAATGATACAAAGCCGATCCCATATTTGACAATAAGATGATTAACACCATAGAATAAAATGTTAGTCACCCTATCGTTTCCAATATGCAGTAGGCCTATGAGTGCTAACGAGGATTAAAAAAACGTTTTAAGGCAAGTTCACAGAGGTTTCTTGAGAGCACTTCACCTTTCTTCACGAGCTCAGCCAGCAGACTGCTCCACTCGCCGCGAAAGATGTTTGCTCCGGTGAGGCTGCCGTCTCCGCCACACACACACAGGTTGGTGATGCTTTTCTTCACCAGGTTGAAGGCGGCGGCGAGCCTGCCCTCTCGAGTAGTGAAGGCCTTGCAACGGGCGCTACCTATCACAGTCCCACCCTGTGGTCATATAACAAGACCAGTAAACACTGCTTTGGATTAAAGGGTCATAAGCAAAACAGGTCGGGAACCAGGGCTTTACAGAATCTGGATACAGGATACTTTGTAGGTTAAATACAACAATAAAAAAAATATAAACTAGATTTAATAGTAGTGCATGCCCTTTACCACAACTAATGCAAAACGGACATTTGCTTAAAATCATCTTTTGAATAGTGCAACTTGCTGCTTCTTAGACTGATAAGGTGAAAAGCACATGCAGCAAGCCCCCTTACCAGATAATAACCAGTATTAGATAGACAGGCAGGGAGAGATTGACGAAATATTATACTTCTTATTAAAACAATAAAAAGGAAAGATAGGAGATATTTAAGACAGAAATAAGAAACAGAAATTCTAAAAATAATACAGTTATGGCACAATATGGCTTTTTCACAGAAGATATTTTAATGAGACACTATAGGAAAAGCACAGGCGTAAATAATAAAATGAATGGTCCTGCTATTGTGCTTATAGGATAGCTTATTAATCAGGAGTTAATGTTATTAGTAACATCTTTGCTTTTCCTACTATTAAAGTGCAGTGTCTGTGAAAAAGGCCTTTTAAAGCTACGTTTATCAGTGCTGTCAAAAGTGACAGATGATCATATTTGAACCTACCAGCTGGATGATGTTGGTCACACTGTGCCAGTGTGCCAGTTTGATTTTGTCTCCCCCGTCCACCAGGCCCTGGTATCCCTGAAACGTAACAGTCATTTCCAAATTGTATGTTAATGACAAGCATAATATGGGCTACACGAGCAAGAATAAAGACCTCAAGAACTCAGTGTGAATGTAAACAGGGTCTTATTAATACAAAAGTTTGTTTACTTCATAAATGAGGTAGACCTTGGCCCCCATATAGATGCCCATTCTGGTCACAGCTCTGACAGCAGCATTCATCCCTGGGTAAAGGACGGGTGCACAAAAACATTGTAGAATATTACAAAATATTGCAGATTTACCTCTGCTTCTCAAGTCATTACACACAACTTGTTGCATAATTACCCTGCATGAGGAAATCAAACACTTTAGTGGATACGACTCCTTTATCTCATACTGGGCAAAGGTGGCACCCACGCCGTGGAGACGGTAACCACAGTCCTTGCATTACGTGAGCAGATCCTCACACTGTATGAGTAACCAGTGGAGGATGTAATGTAAGACCTTGTACTTGAGTAAAAGTAGCAATGCCATAGTGTAGAAATACTCTGTTACAAGTCAAAGTCATGCATTCAAATTTTCACTTAAGCAAAAGAATAACAATAAGTTTTAGCATAGAAATATACTTAAAGTACCAAAAGTTCTCATTACGCAGAATGTCCCTTTTCAAAATAATATTTTATATATGTATTGTATTAGAATTACTGATTCATTCATGTGTGGGCCTACATTTTTATTAATGTTACAGCTTGTAAACTTACTTTATATAGCCTAAACCCAACCCAAAAATAAAGACTTATTTTATCTTCATACAACATAATCTATTTGTTGGTTATATTTTGTATTATTAATCTGAATCTGCAAAGTAACTACAGTAAAGTTATCAAACAAATGTAGTAGAGTACAATTTACAGTAGAGTATTAAAGTAGCACAAAATAAAATTACTAGCCTATAGTAAAGTACAAATACCTCAAATTGTACGTAAGTACAGTAGGCCTACTTGAGTGTTTTTTCCACCACTGACTTGTTTGTATAATAAGCCCATATTCGACCTTTGACACTATCCAGCTGTCAGATTGACTGCCTGTTAGTTCTCGCTCAACTCACAAATTATTTCCTACTTATTTGTTGAAGACAGCTATCTTATTATCTGTATGTACTTAAATGCTGCCAAATGCAATATAAAGCTGAGTTTTATAAGTCACCTTGTGCATCTCCGCCGCTGGTCAGCACTGCTATGGCCCGACCAGCTCCTGTCATCTGCAGCTTCTCCAAGTCCATCGAAAACATGTTGACTCTCAGTTTACAACAACAACAACAACAAACTAGACTGTGGAGAAAAAGAACACAATGTTCGCTAAATTAGCTGCTAGCTAAATAAAGTGGTTTTCGTTTGGTAAATCCAAGTTAGTCCAGATGTCGCTTCCTTGTCGTTGCCTGCAGGTTTACCTCAGTAACCACACAGCAGTTAGGCCTACGCCTCTTCAAGGTTTGACCCCGCCCCGTCCGAAGGAGAGGTCGCTGACAGGAGTACAGTGAGCGCTCATTTTATAACCCCGAACCGTCCGGCAGGACTCTGCTCCAGCTTCTGAGGGTTTTACAGCATTAGCCCCGCCTGCCCACCGTGTCCTGCAGTTTATACATCAAGAAAGCTCAGTAACAGCACGTATTAAAAGTACTAACCGTGCTGATTTCAACCAAACGGGACACTATAGGGGACACCAGCAACGTATTTACATTTTTATTCACTCTAGTATGATGTATCTAGAACTAGAACAACTATGTAGAGCCGTAGAACTAGAGCTAAGGATATGCATATAATTACATGTAATATGAGTTAGTTACTAATCTGAGAGCCCTTTAATAAAGTTTAGCTTTTTATATTGCCCCAAGTTTTGTTTTAAAACAATTTTTAGTTTTAAATACATTTAAAATTTCATTTCAGGGCTACTGGTCATGTCCTATCAGTTTCTGGGAATTTGGGTATCTTTGCATTTTCTACCTCTGGTATTCTTTACAATCAGCATCCTTAAATGGGCCAACATTAAAGGGATTTAATCCCCCCCGAATTCCTGGCAGTTTGGAGAGGCCTTTGATACGTGAAATATGTGTATCATTATGTTATATAAAACCTTTGATCTACAGGTGTTATAGTTTCAATGAACACATGAAACATGCATGAAATTAATTTCTAAATTCTAAATGTATATATTTTATATAATTTATATTAATATAATTCATGGACTTAGTTAATGAGATGAAAATCAACAAGAATTTGTTGTGTCAAAAAAAGAGACAGGCCACAGTGGATTGGGTACAGTACATCAGCATTTATTCCATGCAGTTGTTTGCTCTGATTTTATTCTCCCAGATGCCCATTGCACTGTATGCATTGGATAATACAGGAAACTGACAGGACTGGGTTGATCATAATGCCAATCAACAGGAAAGGGACGTGTGAAAATGAGCATAACAAAAAAAAAAAGTTTGATACATGGGATGAGGCAACATGATGTCCACAGTTAGAGACAATTTCACAGAAATTCAAATGTAAGTAACTGGTATTTTTGATTAAAAATGAAAGGAAGGGATCTCTGCACAAGTACAGAAATCATCATCCCACATACCTTCAGTTTTTACTCTGACGTGACAGTCAGTGGACTGGCTGGCTTCAAGTGGTCCCTTATAGCCCATGTCGAGATAAAAAAGCTTTAGGAACACTTGATGATGCTAATTACTGATAAATCTGTTAAATCAATACTTCATCTGCAATGACAAGCTAAACAATGAATGGTCCCCTGGAGGGTCACAAAGATAAAAAAAAAATAAGAGTAGATGTCTGCTTTTGCTTCACCATACAAACACTGTCCTCTTCCCATTCCAATTCATTGTGCTTCCTTTAAATAATACTTTTCAGGAAAAATTGTAGGTCATGACATTTCTAAAGCTGCCTGAAATTAAAAAGAACACAACACCTTACCAGTCATTCATAATAAATTAATTCAATAATCGTGTAGGCCAGCTACAAAGAAAAACAAGAATCAAAATTAAATTAAACCTTTACAACAATCATACTTCACAGGATATATGCCAGAAAGATAATGTTATTAACAGCTTGATCGGATTACCCAGTCATTGCGATACACTAGGTTATTTCACACGTACGTAAACAGAGTGAAGAAGGTTGAAGGAGGCTCGAGGAAAGGCAGCAGCTGCTCTCACTACCAGGTGTAAGCCTTCTCAAAGCTTTTGAGCAAAAAGGTCCTTTATCCATCAGTACGGTTTCAGATTTACCTTGTGCTACTCGGTTCTTATGTCTCACACCCTCCTGCAGTGTTTAATACTGATGTAACACAGATAAAAGAATTTCCTGCTCATTCTCAGCCAGTCGGCTGGTCGTCATCGACAGAAGCTCGAGGCTCTGTCAGAGCTGTGTGATATATACGTTAAAGAGAGAGGACATAAACAGGTTACATTACATTTACAGATGTTTATATACAGGAGTAACTAACACTGAGACAAGGTTGTTGAAAACCGTGAGCAGCTTAATTGCGCTGTGGCCTTGTCTCTGGCTTATATTCCTAATAAGAATCTCAGCCGTCTGCGTACACTTGAGCTGACATCTTGACATCATTATTGTTAAATTGAACCGTGGCTGGCCTTTTTTTTTTTTTTTAACCGCAAAGTTATTAAGGTGGATGACAAACACTCTAACAGGGAGAAAAATAAAGCTCTCACAGATGCAGTATCCTTTATCAAAGACGACCAAAGACAAAAAAAAGAGTGATATTGCTGGGATTCTAGGATTTGGATAGTCATGGGATAAATTATTTTGGGTAGGGAGAAAAAAGTAATGGTGCCAGGATATTTACTTGCTAAGGAAAAGTAAGTCATTGTAACTGTCGCCATCTAGTGGCTGTTGATATATTGCTCCTGCTAGCAAGCGGCAACATAAAACCTGAGCATCAACCCCCACCCCACCATTCCCTGGAAAGATGAGTTCAAAAAATTGGACTTTTTTTTATTTTTTTAAATATAGCATCTATAATAAGCTGTTTGACACTTGCTGCTCTCCTCTAGCCACCAGTCACTGCATTGTGTCTAGCCAGCTAGACGCCTCGGATCCTGAGCAAGCAACTTCTTTGTCACCTGAGCACCAACATATATGTTATTGCTGTTTTTATTCACTACAGCACAGGAAATACAATTAGCATGTTTCTGGACACTGCTTATTAGACAGTATACATTTACCCTGCTAGAAAATGGTACATGGGATACGCTGCACTTTGTCAAGAAATGGGATACTGCACCTGGATTGCAACTAAAAATGCTTACATCTCTACATAATATTAAAGTCAGTTACAGCAATAAAGGGTTGAACATCACAGCTACCTGTAAGATGTTTTTTTTCTTTTAAAAAAAAAATTATATTCCTGCATGGTCCATTATATATTCCACTCAAAGAATGTTCCAACATACAATAATTGGTCCAGTCCAGTTTCTCCTCGAACAATCCTGAGATGAGACTTGAAACTGTAATGTCTAATGGAGAGGAAAGGGCTTCGTGTCATCACACACACACGCGCACACACACACACACACACAGATAACTCCCTCAACTACTCTGGGTCATGACGTCTGATTGATGATGAAAATGACGTTGGCGTGTCTTGGAGGAGGATGAGCTGGGTCGCAGAGGAAGAGGGTTTTTTTATCTTTTCCTTTGCTGTCAGCTGACTCTTCATCTCTGTTGCTCTGCTAGCTTGTCCACTTCATGCAGTCTTATGGCAGCTATTGCATTTTGCGAGCTGCTCAGGCATGCTAGGACAGTTCAGCGGGGATCCTGATGACTAGACACGTGTGTTGGCTCTGAGGAGGGAGGGAGGCCGGTTGTTCATGCTGGTGTTCACACTGTTTTCAGTTTCAGCAGCTCCCTGATCCCCACTCAACATTGGTGGGGACGGGACGGAAGTGTGGGTATTGGGGCTCTGCAATGTAAACTCATGATAAAGCAGGTTGGTCTTTCGTTAGTAAGAGGGAGTCCTTGTTGGTTAGGGATTTCAGTCTAAAACAGTAAGATGGTGAGAACAACCGAAGCCAGATCAGCGTCACTCCTACGTCCAACAATCGCAGTGATGCAACTTCACACTGCTAGTCGTCCACGTCCGATACAGAAGCACTTCAACGCATCTTTCCTTCTCATCATCTGCATCTCTGTCCAGTCTCAGTCTCTCCCCAACAAACAGTTCGCCCATGCTCAGTTTCAAAATGTCATTTTTTTTTCTCCGTTGGTCCTGAATTATCCTTCAAAACTCAGACAAAAATAAATTATGAATGTTCCACTATCTACTGTACATTATCATTCAAAAGGGAATCCCTGCCATGGGTTGCCTGGATGTTGTGCTAGAAATGAGGGAGACTGGATTTTATGAAGAGAAGGTAGGGGTGGAGGGGGGGTTCTGGGAGAGATTGCATGGGGACTTTGCTATAGGGAGCTTTGTTTACAATGCCATCCTCTTATTGCTGTATATTCTGCAGGGCAGAGTGGGACACGATGGCCTCCAGGCAAAAATGGAACCCAGCCCTTGGGCGGGTTTCACCACGAGGAAGGGGCCCCGACTTTCTTGTTTCTAATGGTGGCATCGGAGCACTCTGCTTCTGACGTATCACAGTCCGAGTCCCCAAACTGTAGCGGATTCTGGGAGAAAAGTGAGAGACAGACGGAAAAACGTCAGCACAGATCCAGCAACAAATGGAAAATTGGAAAATTAAGCATATTGAATCGTGTTTGACATGTAAGTTCTTCATTTTTTAACTGCATTTTAATCTACGAGAGAGAGAGAGAGGTGAAGCGTTTTTACTTTGGTGATCCTTTAACTTTTCATCTAGCACCATCATCAGGTTAAAATTTGAATTTGTCCAGTACTTTGTTTTTAAAACCAAAATACCTTCAAAACTAACTATACACATAATTTTCTTTTTACTTTATTTGCTGCATCAGGCTGTTGCCTCGGACACCACTATAACAGAATTTAAAAGAAATTAACAGAAAGATATTCATTTTATCTGACCAAATTGAATGTCTGAACCAAATTTGCAATCCAACAAATAGTAGTTATTGTTGATATTTCAGTCTTGACCAAAGTGACAGACTTTGAAAACGCAGGTTGCATGACAGAGCTAACATGACAGGACCACACACGTCCACTGCACTGACCTCGTAGCTGTGTTCGTCAGAGCACAGTTTTCCCAGTGAGATCTGGGTCTTCACCCTGCGGACAGCGCACTCCTTGTCAGAGAGGCCGTCTGACTGGGTGGAGATGTCGATGGGGATGTCGGGTGTGTGCGACAGCAGCTCGTCCAGGTGCTCCTCCTGACTAGCGCTCAGCCTCTCGAGAGGCCCACTGTGGGAGTGGTCGCTGGTGTTTCCCTCCTCTCCATCAGACACCGACAGGTTCTCTGAGCTGAAGGTGGAGTAGGACTGGAAGCTGCTCATGCAGCGATGAGGTCTGTGCAGACACAGGAAGAATGTTTTTTTTTTTTTAATCCAGTAGTTCCTTCTAAGACTGGTTCAAACATGGTTCACTGTATTTGGGACATACCAATATTACAAATGATTTTTTTGGTTATGATGTGTTGCTTTGCCTTTAAATTACCACATGTATTTTACCTCTGTCTCCTTGGAAACTCCACTTCACTATCAACCTCCCCCTCTTCCTCTTCAGATGACTCATCGCCACCCTGTAAGGGATGCAATTACAGCAGTTAATCCTTTATCTTTCACAGTTTGCTTAACACAAACACGTAACACAGGCTCACTGACTTAAGGCTACCAGCCACGCTCACCTTCCTGAGAGGTCTGAGAGTGCGGGGCAGTGCAGTGGGCAGGGTGTGAGTGTGTTGGGATGCCTCTTGTTCCTGTGGCTCAGCCTTCTTTGTGGACTCTCTGTCCAAGGATGGATCTTTGCTGGGAGCCCCTAAAGAAGATGGGGTGCCTTCCTGGGTGTTGAGCAGTGAGTAGTGGGGCAACTCTGGTTGGCTCGACGCAGGAGGGGTCTCCTGACAGTGTAGGCAGCCAGGGAAGGGGTGAGCCTGGCAGCAGGGACACAAAGACCCAGCACCAGCACCCGAGACAGGATTGGAGCCAGTGGATGAAGTCCGCTGTCGTGTGTCTGCATCCACGGCGGTTGATATGATGTCAGGGCTGGAACCAGAAACGCGGCGCTGCAGGTGGTCTGTCTGAGGGCTACGGAGGGCAGCGGCGGGGCCGAAGTAGCGCAGGTTGTTGGCACAGTTGACGACGGCCTCCTCACGGCCCTTCAAAGGGAGGAAGGGCCCCTCGGTTGGTAGGTGGTGGTGGTGATGGAGGAACTGCTGCTCCTGAAGAGACTGGGTGTCTTCTTGTGCCCCAGCGAGAGTCTTCAGCAGCCCGTGGAACTCGCTATGACTTCCTTTACTGTTGGCACGGCGATGCCGGGGCTTGCTTCGGTACCGGGCTTTGCCAGGAGGTGTGGAGACCTTTGGGCTAGCTGATAGTGGAGAGGGGGAGGGGAGAGGGTCGACGCTGGGGATGCCATCAGAACGAAGCAAGTCTGGCCTGAAAGAAATGCATTTGGCAACATTAAAATAATGTATCTAAATTCTCCCAAACACCGGTTGTCTAATGTCTTCTAATGACACTTCTGGCTTTACCAGAACATTTAGTAATTCATCTTCCTTTCCTAAGAATTGCCACATATTTGGTTAATTAATTTAAATCCCATCTAGATACACCTAATGGATGTATAGCAGCTGAAATTGGGAATTACTGTTCTTTTACAGTTAGCTGTTCAATTTGCTAAACTTCAGACCTTTTAGTGGGGGGCATCCCAGGTTTGTGGGAAATGCTTCCTTTCTTCTTGATGAGCTTCTCTACGGCGTTGGACCGGACAATGGGTCTGACCAGGTGGCGCTTATAGGTCCCGGGATATTTCTTCTCCACTGCCTGCTCTCTCCTGCAGGGACGGCAAAATTAGTTTGAAGTTACATGACGGTGAACAGAATTAACATTCACTTCTAATAGAAATTTGTACTTCTAATAGAAATTTGTACTTTTATTACTCCAAACATTGGACTGACTACAAGACCGATGTCAAGTAAATTGTACACATCTATTTACATGCCTGTAAAATCCATTATTATCTTATCGCTCTGTTATCTTACAGTAACAGTTGTTTTCTTTACATTGCTACTGACTCCACGGTGGAGGAGTTAGCTCCAAAAATGGGGACCGACTTCGGAAGTCTGGAACTGGTTTGGTTACATAAGATCAGATGCACAACAAACCAAATCGCGGAGGAAATATCGGTATACTGACAACCAGTAAGGCCTGATACTGAAGAAAGGAGCAGGAATGCAGTAAAGCTAGCTGGTGACTACTGTGATAAACGGTTTATTTACATACTTCATTAGTTCCTTCTCTCGGACCTCTAGCTGCAGCATAATGGCACTGAGCTCCATGTAGAGATTGTTGGCTCTCTCCAGTTTCCTCTCATAGTGCTCTCGGATGTCAAGAGCGTGCCTGAAAGTGATAAGGAAATGCAGACAAATGTTTTCTTCCAGCATCTTCTGTTTTTATAACTACATCATTCACACCAAGTAATAAATCCAAGCAAAAGCAATTAGATTGTCATTAAAATACACAAATCATTTTGAAATCAGGAGGAATTACGGATTGGCTGTAGTCAGTCTATCATGCAAAATCTTTCCCATGCATTTTAAGGGTATTATACAGCTGTACATATTAGCTAAATCAGAATCAAATACTTTATTGATCCCCGAGGGGAAATTCTTTTGTCACAGTTGCACTTGTCAAAGTAGATAGATAAAGAGTATATAAATATAAAAAATAAAGACCAATATAAAGGTGTGTGTGTGTGTGTACAATATTTTCATTATTAAGAGTTATTATGGTGAACCAAAAAGGACAAGTGAATAAATAGCAGCAGAGAATATTGCACATTAATTATTAACCAGGTAATATTGGACAGAAAATAGGTAATGAGATCTAGTTTGTCAGACGCTTAAAGTAAATTAGCTTGTTAGGTAGAAAGATTCTATGCCATCAACAGGCAAGGTGTTTACAATTGCTGTCTGTTCCTGTAAATGAGGTCATGTCTCCCTCTAGCTTTCCTTTCTTACACACCTGAGTTCATCCCGCCTGCGTCGGATCAGCTCCTCGTCCAGCCTGTGGATACAAGTGCCTTCACTTTTGATCTTCTCAAAATGTTTCTTCACTTCCTCTCTCCATTCTGACTGTAATATAGATGGACACAGTCAAAAATGCTGACAATTCACTCACAGACACAAACACCATCAGATACAAACAATATCATCTAGAACAATACTGTCTAGGGCTTGAGTACCGCGCTCAGTGTAAGTGCATATCAAACATATTTTAAAGTAACTGCATAGAATAACTTACACAAATATTGTGTTTTGCAGTTATAGTGCTGACCTGAGACTTGAAGTAGGTCTCCTGAGGAGCTCCTAGGACATCAGCACTGGCAATGTCGAGGTGTAGGAGGATCTGACGAAATGAAGGCCTATTCCTGGGCTTGCCTTGCCTGAAATTGATGAAAATCATGGATGGGACATGTGAATAAACGAGAACGGCAAAAATGCTCTAAAATTGTACTTTTGGTCAATCCTGTGTGGTGCATTGTTAGCATTTATCCTGAAGTATAAATGCAACAAAACACATTTTTAAAAACAATATTTTAAACAGACGTGGTGGGGAAAGATGCTACTAAAAAGAATACATGATCCACATTCACCATGTTTGTTTCATGAGGATTTTGAAGCCATCCGGGCAGGTGGAGGGGACAGGAAGGTGGAGACTGTTGCTGCCAACACCCCAAATGATGGCCGAGGAGTCTACGTCTTTGTAGGGAATCTCTCCGGTCAGAAGTTCCCACAACACAACTCCAAATGACCTGCAAAACACAAATGAAGTGAGTCAGATCTTACTACAGCAACAACAACTTACATCTATGATATATACTGTAATAGTTTAGCTATTAGATAGCTACTATCTCAAATTCAAGTTTGAACTGTACATAACCTGCATTTGTATGTAATTTGTTTGCATGTACTATTTTAAATTTGTGTCATTTTACTACTCACCAGATGTCTACTTTTTCAGACACAGGCTCATTTCTTATCACTTCTGGGGCCATCCAGGCCACCGTACCAGCAAATGACATCTTTGTGCTTTTGTCACTGAGCTCTTTGGATGTTCCAAAGTCTGAGATTTTCACAGTGTCGTTGTGGGTCACCAAAACACTAAAACAAACACAAACGGAAAACATAGACTTGTTAGCAAGGTCAGACTGAAAGACAGCCAATATCTCCTACAAGTTTCCATAGTACTATGATAATCTGTATTAACTGTACAGTCAGTCTAGAGGTATTTTATGTTCACCCTGTATGACCTAAACCATTCAAACCAATGCCAAGTTCCTGTGATATTCCACTGGTTTTAAAGGGATATGAGTTGCTTTTGTAGCATTTCAATATTCAAGCCTAAAAGACTTAGCTGTTGCAGAATCACATTTCTGCATCTGAATCACCCCATTAGCCAAATGAGACTGACCTTTCCAGCACATTCAGCCTGCTATCATCCTGCTGACTAATACAGTGTTTGGCACTGCCGCAGCATGATGATATTGATTAGAGAAACAGGGCTACGCAGTGTGCAGAGGATGAGATAGTACACTGTGTCTTACTCTTATATTAAGGCGACTAGCTTTGTTTTTTTTATTCTGAGAATGACATTTTGAGTTAATGTCAGACTATTCACAGCTGAAAGGGTGACTTGTTGCTGCTGTGGACTAAGAAATCTTAAACACGGCTGCTGAGCTGTTTTCCTGAGCTTTGCAGATAAGCTGCTGAATAACAGTGACAACACAAGAAAACATACTGTACATTCCTTTAGATCAGCAATCAGAAATATAAACTCTGCTGCTCTACATACTGAAGCATTTACATTTAACTGTATTTGTAATTTGTAAATGAGGCTCAATGTATTTTTGAGGTTACAGAAATATTTATAATGTTCATAGTAGAATACACAGCGGTAAAACTTAAAAAGTTAGAAAAATTTAAATTGGATGAAGTATCCAAAAATGTTATTCTCATCTTACCATACAAGTAAATGAGGAAACTCACTTGGGAGACTTGAGATCTCTGTGGATGATCTTATGCAGGTGTAGGTAGTTCATGCCGCTGGCGATGCCTGAGGCCCAGTCCACAAGCATCCTGGGGGTCACTTTTCTCCCCGCCCTCAACACCTCATACAGCTGGCCCTGGGCACAGTACTCCATGATAATGCAGTAACACGGTGCCTGGGTGCACACACCCCTGAGAGGGACGAAACACATTTATAGATCAACGGATCCGACAAACCCAATACCTATCGACCATGCACATTTGGGCACCATCAGAGCTCCACTGCGTGACAACAAGATAATATCAAATAACATGCAAGGTCAGGTATTTGCAGACATACTTGAAGCTGATGATATTTGGATGCTTGAGTTTCCGCAGGTGTTTAATGTCCGTCTCCTTCTGCTCGCGCACCTTCTTGATGGCCACCTCCTCTTGAGCGGAACTTGCCCAGGAAGACGGCTCCTTGTGCACCGCTGCCCAACCACTGCAACTCCGAAATCTCCTCAAATGGAACCTCCCACATGTCTGGAAACAAATAATACAAAATAAAAACTTTATATTATAAATAGTTTTTGAAGTGTAGGTGATTCTGTAATTTTTTTAGTGTTGTTTATGTCCATTTATACTAGAGTAGATGAGACACCACCTTTCCTTCGTTATGGTAAATATGAAGCTATAGCAAACAGCCAGTTTAGGATTAGGAAGATTGGAAATAGAGAGAAACAGCTAGCCCGGTTCTCTCCAAAGACAACAAAATCCATCCACTAGCACCTCTAATCCTCATTAGTTAACAGGTATTATCGTGTTTGTTTAATTTGCTATTTTACAGAGGGGTGGGGGTTATGTGCTAGGCTATTTCTTTGCTGGTGCACTCTCTGCTGCTTACTATTCCTCTAAAAAGTGAAATCTCAAACAAATCAAATCTATCTGCTGCTGCTGCTCCATCCTCATTATGTGGTTTAGAAACCAGAGAAGCTATACTGCTGAAACCTCCAACCCACTACATTTAGACATTAGCTAACAAACAACAAGACCTAGCCCAGTTCTGTCTGACCTTGGCTTGTATCCTGTAGCCTCTGTGTCCAGCCTGTACAGGCAGCCCTGCAGCGAGGTGAGTCTACCTTAACCACGACCTCAATTCAAACTGACAGCTGTACAGCTTCACCCACAACAACAATATGGTGAAGCTAGGGGTGGCTATACAATTACAGTTTCGGACTACATTTGGAGAAATGGGAAGAGAATCTAAAGCTTGTTTCTCTGAAGCCTTAAAGGGCCAGGGACATTTGAAGTAAACACAGAGCATTTAGTTCCCTAAAATGATGCCACACAGAAAGATAAAACCCAGAACTAACCTTGCTGTTGTAGCTTGTATTCTGTCGAGTATGTCTTCCCTATGATATTCCAGACAGGCCGAAGACAGCCAAACAGCCCCTCTAAGAAGCCACCTGACCCGGGTCCTGCTCTGTGGAAGTGCAGCTTTATGTCATCAGGGTGATGGGGGTGGCTCTGCCTCCCCTCTCCACTGTGGTCGATGGGACAGTCCCCTTCTCCGATCTGCTCCTCCATCCCACTGCCACACCCGCCGCCATGCTCACAGGATGCCGGCGATCCGGCTTCTTCGTGGTCCTGCTCCTGCAGCTGGAGCACGCTGTTCTCAAAGTGTCCACCCTCGCTCCGTGTCGAGTCCACACTCAAGGCTATGTTTTGGGGAGTTATACCCCCCAGCACAGAGTCCTCGTCCTGGCCGGGCGTCTGCAGGGGAACGGGCAAGTGTGTCGGCGGGGCCAGGTCTGTGATGATCTGAGGAGGTAAGTTGGACGGAGGGGCCTGAGGAGGCTGAGGTTGGGAGTTGGGCGAGTTTGATTTCTTCATGGTGTCGCCAACCACGGTGAGTTTGAGCTCCTCCTTCAGCTTGCCCACCAGCAGACTGGGGCAGGAAGTCCACGAGAGCACCTCGGGGGAGCTACCCATGGTGTCGTGCATGTGCATGGGCTATCCAGTGATGATGAGTGGGACGCGTCCTAACACACTGGTTTGTCTGAATGCTGAAAATCACCTGCAGAATGGGGAGACAGATACAGAACAAGAACGAGAGACAGGTTAGCTAAAATTATAAAGTACATGGAAAATTAAATGCATATTAAAATAAAAGAGTAAAATCCATTTGGATGATTGTAAACACCTCATAAACAACATAAACACGATTATAGCTGTTGCCACAGGGCCCTATTACTTCCATAAAGAGAAATCCTCTCGTTTCCTCCCATAGATCTGGGATTGAGAGAGCTTACATTAATGATGATTATTTTTAATTATGGAGTGTAACACTGCAGGGAAGAGGAGGTCAGAAATATCAGATAGGCTTTAAATCCATGCAGAGTTGCAGAACAAAAGATTGCAGACAGTTGGACTAAACCAATCACAAACACACACAAACAAACAAACACACACACACACACACACACACACACACACACACACACACACACACACACACACACTGGGGCTTTACTATGATCTCTGTGAAGCAGTAACAGTATAGCGGGGATTAAAAGCCTTGCCGTGTATTTAGACTGCTGAGAGCAAACATCTGGCAAGCACAGCCCATTCTCACTGCTTAACCAGCAGGGCCAGTCGTAGCCACCACCGGCTCGTAGCCAACCACACAGCAAACTTTGTAGTTTTCTTCAGTCGCTGAATCACCAGGAGATAATCTATACCTATGCATCTTAACCTGCCTGTTAGAGTTACACAAGACGCTGCTGAACCAGGGTCAAGGAAGGGACACTAGGAGCGGGTATATGTAATTCTATACCACAATATTGATATATTGTAAATATTTTTAGTATTAAAATCCCTTATTGCCATTATTTAGATCTGTTCTTTGATGTCCAACTTGGCAATGGCACCAAAAAAGGCCAAATACATCCAGAGATATTTAAAAGGATAGCTTCCATGGCATGGCAAACTCTCAAATAAATGTACATGATCTTAAAAGTACATGTTGTCATATTGCCAGAGTTAGTTGACTATACTATATACAAGTGCCTGAGGCAAACAAGCTTATGTAACAGCTTTATAATATAAACATCTCACAGTCTTCATCAGCGAATGAAACTGCCTCAGGTGTCATCATGTGACAGTGTGAAACCTCGGTCATGTGATAACAAGTGTTCCAACTATAGTTGCTGATAGAGAACAGAGTTTACCACAGAATGACAGTGTAACTGTGGCGGACGGGGCGCAGTAGGTTATTCTTATACCATTTTAATTCTACTTCATTCTCCACCTTATTTTAGTGTTTTAATGTTTACTCACTACTTGAATCAGCTCACCTTGCTTTTCCTTTCACTTAAAACACACAGGCACTTTCTGTTTTTCTTTCCCTGTATGTGCCTGCTCTGCTGACTTTCTCCTTCAGCAGTATTTCTTATAAAGTCATTGAAAGACACAGAACTCGTCGTTTGGATTTCTTCAAACGCAATTCAGTTTTCACAGCAGCAGGTGCGCCACATGTGGAGGAGGCTTGTTAATGACATAGCCTATTGAAACGATCAAAACCCGTAAGTTCAGACAAAGCCAGTAAGTGGTCATTGAGTTCAGATCATTTTGTCAGGGAAACTGCTCCCAAGATCAAAAATCAATTCCCTTGCTTAAGGATAATACTGTAGTAACAATGTTACCGACAGTTAAATCATCAATGTATGCCCACGTATGAATCAATTGCTTTGTAAACAACACTTTTTGATATTATCCCCCCCCCCCCTTAAAGCTATGAGGATATTCCATTAGCAATCCAACCAAGTCTGAGGGGGCAGTAAGAAATATTGAGCGAGGGACACAGAGCGAGGGAGATAGTGAGAGGCTGTACAGTGTGTACAGTCGGGAACAAGAGATCAAAGTCCAGGAGGGAGGAGAGGCACAGCAGTGAGCTGGCTCTGTGTTACGTGGAAGTTTCCTGAAGGGGAGAGAGGACAGTCATTAAGTCCAATCAAAACACACTTTGTTTGTGTTGCCCTCTGCGGGGAACACTAGCATGAATGCACAGCTCTTCCCCTTTGGCATAGGTCAAAGTACATAAAACTTTGATCCCTCTGAAGCAGAACACTTTGCTGCTGAAAGGCTACGATGTCAAGCCTGAATTAAGGACCCCAACATGTGTGTGTTTCTAAAATGCATGCATTCGTTGTTGGCGTTTTGCCTTTCTGGATACTTACAATAGAATGAAGAACAGAGAGAGAAATAAAGGGGCATTAAAAGGACTTAAAGTGGAGATACTCATAGTTACATGGCATGAGTCCCAGTCTGTTGGTCCACACAGATGCCGATTACATGTTTGTGCGAATGCATCTGTACTGTTTCTGTGTGTATCTACTGGGGGGTAACCTGAGCTCTGTGAGAGTGTAGTAAGCTGCCAGTAGCCTCATCTATAATGCAGACATGTCTCTAAGCAGGTTGCTGAGAGTGCAGGGGAAGGAGAGAATGCACTCTCAGGTATCCAATAAATCCGTCCCTTCCACAGCCCAAGACAATCGAGCTGTGCGTGAGGAGGCCCGTGCTGTAATTCCACCCCACGGACGATTCTCAGAGCTGGGCTCCTGACATGGGCCACAGTGGGTGGATGTGGTCGGCTGCATGGAAACACACATAGAAGACACAAGCCTGTACACACAGTAACCCCTATAAACCTGCTAAAACTGCACAATTATCTTGCACAAATAAGAGCGCAGTCTGACAAAAGCTGATGCGCCTTACAACTATAAATTTCACCCATTTGTTCTCCAAGTCAAGAATAGAAGACAGACCTCTTGCTCTTTCCCATTAATATCTTATGGAGGACCTCTATGGGCATAGAATCCCATGAATAATGTCTGCGCCTCATCAAGAAGGGCCCAGGGTTTCATTTACACAGTCATTTATTTACAGGACTTTCCGAAAGTGACCGTGACTGGGCAAAAGGACACACACTGGTGTTACATGGTTGCATAAAGTAGATATTGCTTCAGAGAGGGAAACAATACAGATGCTCAGCAGAATGGATAAAATGGGGAGAGAGAGAGAGAGAGAGAGAGAGAGAGAGAGAGAGAGAGAGAGAGAGAGAGAGAAATTATCAGGGGCTGATCCTTTAATCCCTCTACAGGGCTCTAGAGACAAGCTTGTACAAACACAGACCTTATACAGCCCTCCCCCTCCATATCTCCTATTCACACATCCTTTCATTTCTTGCTTCTCTAAAGGCGACCTAATGTCAACGGCCAATAGCACAATGCATCATGGTGAGTACATGTTTGGGAGATGAACACACTCATAGATGTAAAGCAGCATTAGCAGAGAAAGCCCACTGGTGTTGTTACTGTACCACACTGTGTGTGTGTGTGTGTGTGTGTGTGTGTGTGTGTGTGTGTGTGTGTGTGTGTGTGTGTGTGAATACACACACAGCAGCTGGTGGTACAGGGGGATCAGGTTCAGAGAACACACGTGATTGTACACATACACACACATGCCTGGGGCGTGTCTGGCAGAATCCAATAATCCCAAAACTCCCAGCAATCCACTGGGGAAGGGAGTTTTTTTTTCCCCCCATCATTCAGCTAATGCCAATATGGTTGTTTGGATTGTGTTTCAATGTACTGCACATTCACAAAAGCAGCAGGACCTTCCACGACATATTAGCAACAGACAGACCTTTAACATATTCAGAGGTGCACATTACATTCATGCTGACACTCACACAGCAGTAGCAGCAGCAGCAGCACTGTCATCTGTGCCTCCATCACCCTGCTCCTCATTAAGGGAAGCCCTGCTGGGCCCCATAGGGGGAACCTCCCTTTAGGTGACAGCTGTGCCACCAACAAAGAACCAATTTAGCTCCTATCCCACCTCATCATTCACACGTTACCATGTCAACACAGCATCCATCCTGACCTTCTGCTTCGACTCACTTTCACTCTCATCCAACACTCAGGTTTGGAGAGGCCAAAAAAGCCCAGAGGACGGTTTTGTATCCACTAAGCCTGTCATGTAAGGAGAGCAGTTGCTTGTTGTTTTACAGAAAAACAACATGGTACATGTTATAGAGTTTTACCTCAAAAGTAGATAGGTATAAATCTCAGACTTCAGCACAGTGAACCGGTGTCAAACCTTTTCAGATATTGTCCAGATCCGGCAGACTGGTCTGCTTTATCGCCCCATCCCAGAGTGCTCATTGCTGGAAGGAAAGGGAAATACCCGCCCCGGACTGTTTCTATCTCTCCTCTGGCATCGAACGGAGCAAAAAATGGACGGTAAGAGCAGCGCTTGTCCCCACTTAGCACCTCAAGAAACCATTAAAAAGGAAAACTATCTTATTTCTAATCATCATTAGCTCCGAAGTCTCTATGGTCTACACATGTGACCGTCTGCTATTCTGGGTCACAGTTGAACAGCTGAACTATGGTATCTGTGCTTATAGTACTTCAATGCAGACTATGGACTTTCATGTCTGGTGTTTGTCATGTGACTCAACAATGTTATAAAACAGAAATCTGCTGTTGCCTTGTATCTCAGCGACATAAGCACCTGGGTTCAAGTCTTGTCAGCAGTATAACACACATACATGCTATCAAATTTTGCCAATTATTTTGCATTGTCTGCCTAATACCATCGAGCAAAACAGATATCTAAAAAACCTAATAAAAGAGGGTTATGGTTTAGATAGAAATCTGGAAAAATCCTGCTCAAAGATTTCTTTCTTGTCAGTGACGCAGACAAAATTATAACATATTTTGCATCAAACACAGAAACCGCAGGAAATAGGAAATAGAGCCGCCCAGTACTGATTTGATTGTCGGGATGTGGGCCGCAGTCTAAATCAGCTTTTCCCTCGCTACCATGGCCATGAGTCCTGCCAGAGGGGATTGGACAGCCTGCGGTAGGTGGGTGAAAGTAATAATCTGCTGGTGCAGGCACAGCGGTGGAGGGAAAAATAAACAAATTCTGGCATAGCATTCAGGCATCTGTCATCACACGGCTGACATTTCCCTATAATCCCTCTTTCTTCATTTTCTGATTCCCTGTGGTGACTCACCTGGGCTGACTTAAATACCTGGTGTTGGCTCGAGGGGAAAGCAGGCCACAGAAAAATAATCTCTGACCGCTTACCTGCCTGCCCAACCGCTCTGGGCTTAGCTGGTGTTGCTGGGGCAAACGGGAACAAGGTCAAAGCCGTTCCTGCTGAAGCTACAGGGAAAGTGCCAGGTGGGATCATGTGTAATACGCCTGGTTTGTTGTGAAGGCTGAGAGCGGTCAGGTGGATGAACGAAACTGCCAGAGAGAGTTGACTGATAGGAGGATGAACGAGTAACGTGTAAAACAAAACAGATACAGCTCGGCTTCTTCTCCTAAAGTCCAAAACGTCTGACTGTGTGGTTTCCTAGTTTGTCAAACCAAATTCATACCTGCAGAATCCTGCTGACCAACATATTCTAGAAGAATACTTTAAAAGTCAGATACGGGGTTAACATGGCTGTGAATCATTAGCACCCCAAACACACACACATAACTTGTGCCTCAAATAGCCTCAGCCGGTACCAGCCAGAATTGGAGAAAATAAATAACTGAAGAAAAGAGTGTGCGCCATCGACACGTCACACACTCTTCCCCCAGCCTCCATCTCTGAGCCTCTCGGTGAGGCTGCAGCCAACACTGCAACCAGGGCACACGGCCTAAAAAATCTGCAACTATCATGCATACTCTGCTCTGAAAAGCTCACAGAGCTTGTACATCGGGCTTCCTTCGGTCAAGCAGATTCTTAGTTCCCAGTGATGCTTAATGATAAAGCTTTACAGAACTCTATATATGAATACTAACCAGATCCATCCGGATAGATGATGAATGCAAAGAGACAGAAAAGGGACGGTGGGGCCAAGGAGACAGTGGAGGGAAAGAATGGCTCAGAGAAAAGTAGGGGAACAAAAGCATATTAGGGAGACAGAAAAGGACATGGAGGGTTATGAATGAGGGAGATAGGGAGGAACATTTTCGGGGCTGGAAAGAGAAAAGAATGAGAGCAAAGAAAAATGAATGAGAGAGACAAAAGAGAGAAAGAGAAACTGCTTTTCTGCTTGCTGCTGCTGATGCTTGCGGCATGATACTGTACCGACCAAGCTCCAATGGGAAAGACTCCCAGAAGCGACAACAAAGGACACAAGAGGAGCCGGCTCCATGTGAACTGGGCCTGTCTGCCCTGCACGGCCAGGAGACGGCAGCGCGCACACACACACACACACACAAACACACACTCAACACTGCACACCAGAGCAGCTGCTGCCACAACAATCCCCCTTGTGCTCTTTTAATAGGGACGGCCTGCCTGGCCCGCCAACAACAAGGGCCAAGGAGAGAGGCAGACAAACAAAAAGTGACACGACAGACAAACGCGCATATTGCAGGAGACTGGCTGCGACTGACACCATTTTTAATGGCAGCTATATGAAAATACAAAAAGCTACCACGCAAAAAGAATAGGAGAGGGGGTGGAGGCATTTGAGTTTAACAAGGGGAAGTAGGTGTTGTACTACATGTTCTTTCTTCTGCCTAAAGACAGACTCTGCCACAGCAGAAAGCCAGGAAATCAATACACATTAGTGCTTCTACAAAAAAAACATGCACAACATGCACATCATCTGTGTTTTCATATTTAAGGCTCTACCCAAAGGAGCTGAAGTCAGACACTGGGAAAAACAATTCAAATGGCAAATTCCTCATGGATATGAATATGCAGCCATTATTACTAGTGGAGAATGGATGGAAGGAGCTCTGCCCTCCTCCGTCCCTCCTCCTCTCCTCTAAAGCCCTGCTGCCGGCTACTCATCCAGTGCTGTTACATAAACATGCTTAGTAGCAGAGGACAGAGGTGGGCACACACACAGCTTTCCTGCTGCCAAGCCGACAGAATAAAGAGATGGAGGAAGATGCAAAGTGGGGGGAGAGTAAAAGTGGTGAGGCAGGCAAGGAAATATGGACAAACAGAGAGGCAGAGTTAACAGAGACAAAATGAAGCAGTGGAAAAGGAAAGTGAATGTGCATGTACTGAAATAACTTGGGCTGTGCGCAATACACGTGTGTCCCAGAAAAGTCTGCCATGTCACCAGCGTTGATAATGCCTCCGAGTTTAATTTGGCTGCTACATCAGGAGGTGCTTCTGTTGGTCTATACCTTTACCTACATCTCAACCTGTCCTTCAAAGGGTACAGAGAAGTACTGCATCAAAAAAAACAGCAGCAGCATCACCGCCGAGCCTAAAATAGCTGCTGCACGCACCGACGCACGGCCGCACAACACACTCCTGCAGCACCGCTACTGAACAAACACAGACAGCTGATCCACATCCAATCAGCACACACACAAACAGACACACACACACACACACACACACACACACACACACACACACACACACGGAACGTATCCTTGCAGAAATACATGTCATGAACAATCAAAGAAAAAACACCAAATATACAAGCAGTGGATAGTACCTCCACATTACACAGGGTCCACTCAGATGTACAGCAAAGACACAGCATCAGCAGATTACTCACAGCAGACAGAGCTCAGATTCATGGTCCACCCTCATCTCTGAGGCAGGGATGGAGGAAAATAAAAGTCAGGGGAGAAGGACTGAACTGACTGTCACAATGTAGAAAAACGGCAAAGAAAAACAGGGAAAAAGAAGGAGACAGAGGCTGGAGAATGACAGGCATTCCTCTAACTCCCGCAGCACCTGGGCTGTGAGTGGGTGGCCGGCAGCGTCACCGGGTCGCTGAAAACCTGCTCACGTCACACTTTTCATGAATGGAGCTGTCTGACGCAGAGAAGACGCGGCTCAACGAGCAGAGGAGGGAGGGGGTTGGGGGGTGCAGGAGGGGTGGAGCCTTCTGCACAGACTGAGAGAGGAGGGGCAAAGGGAGATGAAGAGGAGAGGAGAGGAAAAGAGGAGGAGGTGGGGCTGTATTTCAAAGCAGCACCAGCTGGGAACAGCAGGTTAGGCTGCGGCGGCGTCTCTGTAAGTAGGGCAGACTGATGCTGCACGAGAGAAAATCCTTTTGTACTAAATCGGCTATCAGTTCCTCCATGCCAATTGTATCAACATCACACGTGACGACACACTGTATCCTGTATACTAGTGTGGGATATCAACTTGTGACAAAACATTTTATGTGTGTCTAGCCATCGATACAATTACTGTGTGCTGATATTTTATGTGATCAATCAATAAATCATTCTATGTAATATCAGAAAATAGCATGAAAAAGGCATGCAATGATGACATCTCTTGTTTTCTCCAACCAACAGTCCAAAAAAGATATTCAGTTTACTATCATCTATAATAGAGAAAGAGATAAACTCCTCACAACTGAGAGCCTGGAACCACAGAACTGTGGTTATTTTTTGCTTAAAATAAATGATATAACCAATTAATGGGTTGTTGCAGATAATTTGGCCATTGACCAACCAATCGAATGCACAACTAATCGTTTCAGCTCTAAATACAAAAGCCACAAAGTAAATCTTTTATAACTGTCAAATCTGGTAAAACAGATTTTTCAACTGTTTCTATTTTTTCCAATTTGTTAAAGAACTACAGGTACAACAATGAGGAACTCTTTATGAAAGGGTTTACACGTTGTAACAAATGTCTATGTTAATGGCCAATATATTTAATGATGCTTTATAAATTAGTTATAAGCCATTCATCAGAATAACTTCCTAGGTTCTAGGTCCTCTGGATCCTCCTCTAAGATGACACGCAAATAAATGGTCATTTATGACATAGGCCTGAAACTGATCTATCTAAAATGATTTATTACCTATTAATAAAGCCACAAATTCAACTTAAACTACAAAAATGATGTAACCCAAGACCTTCTTTGCAAAAATAATTTTTCATATAAATTATTATTTAAAATCTTGCGTTTATCTGAAGTAACATCCAACTTCTCACACAGACAGCTCAGAGCTGCTCCTGTAGTCAAATAAACTCAAGATATGTAAATGTAGCCATCAAGTTACTATGATTAACCTACATTTTCACCACAGGATACAAATGTTCTGCACAGCTGTGCTTTCTCTTGGTAAGCTAATTAATATTCTACTGCAGACCTCAAGCTAGAGAGAATGTTATATAAATGAACGTCCGTTACATTCAAGCCCTTACCAAACGAGTTCACTGAATTTGCAGAGTTTTTAAATCAGTGTCTGTGGAGACATTCCCGTGCTAGCACACAGGCAGTGATGTGTTTTATGCCGACCAGCAATGATTGGTTTTTCAGAGCTGAAGGGGGGAGCGACTATAGTGAAAGCAGCAACTCAGTATGGCAGAGCCTATACATCATAGGCCTGCGTCAACAGTTTTGTGTAATAACTCTCACTGTCAGAAGGAGAAGACAAACGTTCTGCACTACAGGTTTAAGTATTCAATGTTTCTGCAGAAACATGAATACCTCATTTGATGTGTTCTCCATGTTTACACATACCAATATTGTATACCAATATCCGCTGAACCAATTTGCCACATTTCTCAAATCCCAAATCAAACCACCTTAGTCCATACTCAGGAGGAATAAGAACGTACAAGCTTCAGGGCTGACAGCTACAGCAGTTGGAGAAAAATCAAAAGGTCAGAGCTGGAATGTCAGAAGAACCGTTCTTTATTCTCACCAAAAGGTCATTTAATATCTTTCACAATCTCTCACACTCCTCCTGAATGTGCTGAATTAAAACCACTTCCTTCAGCCATCTCAACGCCTCAGCACATTTGTGTGGATGCTTCTGTATGCATGCATGCATACGTGTACAAGTATTGACCCGTCAGGTGGTTCCTGAGCATCTCACAGGTTTGCTGAGTGTGATCTGGGCTCTGGTTTGGCTCTGTCTTGCTTCTTACCTGCACACACAGAGCAGGGATAAAGGTTCATATGGGCGAGTGACATGTTAATCTTTGTACAGACAGATAAAGATGATGCATTGAGTCCATAATGCACATATTGGAGCGAATAGAATGGTATTGCCATTTTCAGGGTTTATTTGACTGCTGAGTCACCAGATAATCAAAGAGCTGGAGCAAAAATGGGGTGCAACTCAGAGGTAGTGGCGGTCTGTATATAGTGTATGTGTGTTTGAGAGTAGTAATGGCAGAGACTGTGACTGACTGCGACTAGAGGGTGTATATCAAAAGACACTGATTGAGAGGGAAGGCCTGTGGGTGAAAGAAAAAGGCTCGGGGAACAGATGCTCCCCCCCATCCTCTCTTTGCAGTAAATCTCTGGGGAAGATGATCACGGGTGGGGGAGGCGGGGTTTGGGACATTGGAGCAGCATTGTCCAGTCTCCATCCTTAAGCCGCACCCCGGCAGGGGACACTGCCAGAGGAGGAGGTCTGGTATCCTGGGGCGAGGCTGAGGGGGAGGCTTCCAAACACGGCCTGTAAATGGGGTGACATGACAGTCAAATGAGTCACGGCGCAGATGGCCGAGGATGCTGGCTCTAATGGGACTGACATTAGGGAATGGAGAGTGTGTTCACAGATTGGTGGGATCTGTTAAAACGGCACCTTTGTGATGCAAAGTCCAAAATGAACACAATGTCAAGCATTCTTCTGGCCCTGAAGAGAACAAGAGTGGGTGTAAACCGGAATTGCTATTCTTGCCATGTTGCTGAATACACACTCCTGTAAACGTGTACACTGCACACACAAAAACACAGCAGGGGTATTCCCAAATATAAAGCTCCAGTTAAACATTGACAAAGAGAGAGCAATATCCATCCAAGAGCATGGATTTCAAATACCTGACCTGTTTGCTTAGCGAGAACATCTAGCTCTGCTCTATAGCTGAAATTCCAAAGGTCAGCAGATCACAAGCCAGTGTGCTCATGTGGAAACAAGCAAAGCCACATTGTATTATGAAAACAAGCCAGAGACACGCCCCGGCTAAGTATTCTTAAATAGAAATGAAAGACTTTTAAAGTCGTGATGATGCAGTCTAAAGGGACTTCATGAACCACAGCCAGATGTAAAACCACTTCCACCACAGCCCCACACAACATGAAGACGTCTTTAACGCGTCTGCTTTCAGCTTGATGAGACTTTTCTGTGCTTGTGCATGAATAGCACATAAAAAAGACCCAAATAAGGCAAAATGTCAGAATCTTCCCTCTACATGACCAAACAATTTTCAACCCCTGAAGGACAATAAAGATATATTCTATTTTAAACAAATGGTTTCCTGTCTCATCACAAAATCAGGACATCTTTATGTGCCCCAAATCCTCGCTGTTCTAATATTCACAGGGATATTAGATTATATATTTATCAATTTGTTGTAGTGTTTTCATTTGCAGTATTGCAATTGACTCATCAAACCAGTGCTGATTTATGAAGATATTTATTTATTTATTTATCTAACAAATAATGTATCATAAGCCAACATAGAAACAGCTTATTTTCACAGACGTTATAGTGAGCCATATCTGTACAAGAGAAAGGCTTTTATTTTAACATTTGATGTCATCTTCGCATTGGATTTCCTCCATCCTTCAGTTTTGCTACAAAAGATTTTAATTCATTTAACTTTAATTACAAGTTTCAAATTACTTCGGAGGGCGACAAGCAGGGGAGCTGAAACCTGAGCTCGCTCATTTTCCACTTTGATTACAGCTTCTTCAGCTAGAAACTGGCTTTCAGCATATCTGCTGAGGAATGATATGCTGAGATCGCACAACAGTTATTTGGTGGTCATGAGAAAACTAAAAACTGACGGCCTCTCAGGTGCTCCCAACACACCTCTTCTGAGCCAACCATCTGCCACATTTACTTGTGCTGGAATTACATGAACAAGATACCTACCTGACTACTTGTGGTGTTGCTGTTGCTTTTTTCAAACGGATTGTTCATTTGCAGAGTGTAGGTAAATGTCACAGAGGTGTATAAAGTCTTTAATGATCATTGCTAAATAACGTAAGTCTTTCTCACAGGCGTACGTGTAACCTGCAAACACTATGCTGTGATTATATTCTTACTAAAAATTTGGGCTGCAACTAATGATTATTTTCATTGATTAGTTGTTTGGTATATAAAATGTCAGAAAATTGTGAAAAATATGAAGCAAGCATCCTCAAATGTCACATTTTGTCCACAAGAGTCTTGTGCTGTGTATGAATTTGGATACTTCCGAAGTATACTTACATGCAGTGTACACTATGTACTTGCGTAGTGCGTGAATTTCGACAGGGTAGTTAAATTCTAACTGCGCCCCTTCTTTTTAATGACGAACTGATACTGGGTGGACCAATATCGCCAACATTATACCTCATTTGTCCCCGCCAAAATACCTGCCAGCTTGCTCACTTGACTTCCATTCAGTTTAATTAAAAATTAATAAAAATAGCTGTACTTTTACTTGCTTGTGTGTGCAGACACAACCGCTGCAGCTTTCTCAGCTGCCATTTTCACAAGTTGGTAGGTTGGTGGTCCCTCCCCTTCTGCTATGTAGTCAAGTGTCCAGCGTTCCACACTCTTTTTTAAACTTTTTGACCAAGTACACCATCAAGGTACTCAATAGTGCACTGTATTTTGCCATACTTGTCAGTATGAACGCACTTGTGCACTCAAAATAGCAAGTGTGAGTATGGAAGATCAAGAATTGTGACACAGCTTCAGTCTTTCAAATATCCTTATTCCAGTGGTGGCCTCCCTCTTCAGCCAGTCAGTCCTCCATGTGCCCTGGCTTTGCCTCCAAGTGCAACAGAGCTGTAAACCACACTGGCTCAGCTCGGTTATACACACTCATTACTATTTCACCAGCAGCGGAACAACAGCGCCGACAGCTCCTGTGTCCCCCGCATTAATAAGAGAAAAAGCACCATCGCAGCATACAGTGGTTTACCTTTACAATCTGCCATCACATGCAGCAGCCTGGTAAACACATGCTGGCCCGCACACACAACTATGATTACAGACAATTAAATAAGGCTTCCATGTAGGGCTGCACAATATATCGCCAGAGCATCGTCATCGCAATGTGCTCTTGCGCAATAGTAACATCGCAGAACAGTGCCATATCAAGCGAGTCAAATTAACTCAACCACCTCAACTTTTTTGCTGCTTGATAGAAAAGGAAAACTTAAGACAGTTCTCATTTTCCATCAGCAATTGAAGTAATCTGGTGAAACTTCCTGTATTTTTTCATATCGCAATATATATCGCAGAAAAGAAAAATATTGCAATGTTCGTTTTTTCCAATATCGTGCAGCCCTACTTCCATGGTGGTCTGTTCAGTCCTACAGTAGGTCGATATGTTCATACTGTGTCCCATCATATTATAAAAAAATCTTTTATATAATAAAAGCGCTGGTGGAAGAAGCAATAAAATTTAACAATTTCGCCACAAAAAACCTCTCCAATACTAGTGACTCAGGGATTAGTTTTTTTGTGTGACCAGTTTTTTCATGTAACAGTTTTTGTTTTAAATATAAAAGAAATTCGGTTAAATTTTATTTTAAAGCAAATTCTTTTAAATTAGTTTAAACTTTTATGGGTTTTTTGCCAACCAGCAAAACATTGATATTCTGTAAAAACCTTGTTCATATTTCCAATTTGGGGAAGTATTATCTAATCATCTTCAATGTGTTACGGACTTAAAATAAGACTGCTTTTTATAGTTTCTGAAACGCAGAGATTTTGGAGATATCACTTTATATTAGGAGCTACCAGTTGTAACTTTTCCTTAGCAGATTTTGGTATGCTGTGCTAAGTACCGATAAATTGGCAATGAAAGACTGGCCAGATTTGTTCTCTCCTGTATTTATTCTGTGATCAGAAAACTCTTTATGTTGGCAAAGTACTTGTACAACTACTTGTACTTAGACAAAAGTGAGAAATGAGAATTCTGGTGCCTTTTTTTTTACATGAAAAAAAGTGGTTTGTAGATAAAAATATTTAAAGTAATGAACTGAAAAAACAGAATTTGCTAAATAACTACAGCCTTCTTAAAAATCTAGTAAAATCAAAAGTCTCATATTTTCGTCATAAAACTGAACTAATAGTAGAAAGTCTAGTAGGTAAAATGCCCACTTCTAAACACTTTGCAGTATGGTACTTGAGTAGATGTACTTCAGTACAGGTTAGGCATGTGTACCTTGTGTGACTGCAGTGTAGCGAGAACCTGAACCAGAAACCTCTAAGATAATCAATGCGATAAACTTGGTAGTAGTGTCCAAAGCAATTTAACTGTCAATAAAAGCCCCTCGCAGCCGCTGTGATTGGCTTAAGGTCTATTGTTGGCAGTGCAACAGTCTGTCATGGTCTACACAGATACTTCTAGAAGATTTCACTCAGTCAGAAAACTGAATCAAACTAAGATTCATTGCGTTCACTTTCATGCAGTAGGACATGTCGGTCAAAGATATATGGCAGTGAGCTGGTAATGAAGATATATCCTTATTACATTTAGCTATACTGTATCTTCAAAATAACACAGTATTACACTGCCCTGCAAAAATGCAGCAGCTTACAGCACATTATTGAGGGAAGACCGGAATCTTACTTTAAACATTTGTTTTTACCAGGGCTGCCACCTAATAGTCGACTAAACAAACAGGA